AACCCAGCGGTTGCGTGGTTTTTCCTGGGTGGGCCCCCAGCAGCCCCGGGAAGCAGCGTGGCACCGTGGTGGTGCCCAGCGTGTGCCACTGCAGCCTGGCACGCGTGCAAGCCCCCAGCCCGGTGATGGGGACAGAAGGGGCTTCTCATCCTGGCTGTCCCCTGCAGGAGCCTGGGGATGTGGTTCCGATCTGCTGGGTACCAGGCACCGGAGAGTGGGGCTGGGGATGGTGCAGCTCTGCACCCAGCAATGCTCAAAGCACTCCGAGTACAACAGGAACCAGGCAGGATGCGTCCCTTGCTATCTGAGCATTCAGTTACAGCCCTCGGCACATATTCGGCTTTGTTTAAGGCTGAGCAGCAGCCCCGGTGTGAGGGGGTTAACCCAGCTCACAGGCAGCCCCTGCAGCCCCTGCTGCTCCTGCGGAGCTGGGGCCCGGAGGAAAAGCAGATGTCGGTGCAGAGGCAATTACGGGGGGTGCAATGGGGGCCGGGGCTGAGCTCCCTGCAGCTGAGCTGCAGCACCAGGCAATCACGGCTGCAAATTGAGATCAGATGTGGGCAGCTTCTCTCTCTAAATGGAGGGCTCGGGGCTGCTGCCTGGGTTGGTCTTGCTCTGGTTTGGGGAGGAGGAGGAGGAGGAGGGTTTCTGAGCGCTGCTGGGGCCCAGGTTGGCTGCAGTGACCTGGAGAACGTGGTACCTGTGCTTCCCTTGGGCAGCCCCTTGGTAGCTCCGCACTCTGCCTGTTGCTGGCCTGGAGGTGCCTCTTGCTGGAGCAGGGGTGATGCAGGAGCTGGTGGCTGGTGTGGAGAAGATCAGGTTTGACTTGGAGGCTGATGTGGAGCAGCAGCGAGGAGCTCAGCCCTTGCCCTTCCCGGGTATGGACAGTAAGTTGGGGACAGGACCCTGTGGCATCCTTGAAGGGTGAACGGGGGGCAGGAGGTGTTGGGGTTCTCCTCCTTGCTGGTGCTCCTGGCTCTTGCTTGCACCCACCACAGTGCCTTAGTGCCTTTGGTCCTGCCTCCTCCCTGGGCTCCTGCCTGAGGCCAGGCTGGCTCCGGGCATTGCTCCCTCAGGGATGCATCCTGCACAGCTCTGCGGGCGCTGCCGGTGGAGCGGGCTGAGCTGCTCTTGTCCCTGGTGGCACGGTGGCCCTGGCACTGGCAGGTGAAGCTCTCCATACCCTGCTTTCCCCCGCAGAGCTGGGGGCGGCCGTCTGCGAGTTCTTCCATCGAGGGCTGTGCACCAAGGGTGAGTGCTGGGAAGGGGTGGGGATGGGGCTGACACCACCCTGCAAGATCCTGGGGCTACCAGGGAGCAGGACAGGGCCCCTCTCCACCCCGTGACCAGCCCGTGTCCGTGGCAGGTTGCTCTGTGGCCGTGTGGCCAGCGGGTTGGCAGGTTTTGACCCAAAATGCTGACACTGCTCAGAGTCCATCATTCCCCCTGGCCCTTTGGATGAATGCTCCTGCACTGGGGAGGGCTTGGACACGTCCAGGGCAACCAGACCTTGGCAGTGCCCAGGGGCCTGAGCGCCCAGTGGGTGCTGCAAATCTCCTCCACATCCCGGAAAGCTCATGCTGGTGTGTCCCAAGCCGAGGAGCTGGGGGGTGCTGGGGCAGGGGGTCCCGATTGCAGGCAGGGGTGTGGGGGGCTGCGATGGCAGGGGCTGCAGGGCACAGGCAGGCTCTGATGGTGGGTGTGTGCTGGGGCCAGGGGTGCTGTGTCCCTTCCGGCACGTCGGCGGGGAGAGGATGGTGGTGTGCAAGCACTGGCTGCGTGGGCTCTGCAAGAAGGGTGATGGGTGTGACTTCCTACACGAGTACGACACGACCAAGATGCCCGAGTGCTATTTCTACTCCAAGTTTGGTAGGTGTGGGACTGGGCTGGGGACCGCAGTGAGCCTCTCCTACCCCAGAACCCATGTCCCTCGGGTCTGGCCTCGAGCAAGCACCTGATGCCACCTCCTGTCTGTGGGAAGAAACGCCACTGGCACCCACCCAGGGCCACTGTTCCCGGGGCCAAGCCTGGGTGCTCCCAGGGCACCCCTGTTCCTCCCATCCAGCCCATCCCTGAACACTTTCCGCTGCGTTTAGCTTGAGCGACTGCTGTCCCACCCCTTACTCCCGCAGGTGAATGCAGCAACAAGGACTGTCCCTTCCTGCACATTGATGCCACCACCAGGACCATGGGCTGTCCCTGGTATGACCGCGGTTTCTGCAGGCACGGTGAGCTGCCGGGATGGATGGGTGCTGGGGCGAGCAGGGGCTGTCTGTGTTCCCTACCCACTGGCGATGGGGGGTCTGGATCCCACTGCTGGCCCAATCTCCTGCCATCTCTGAGGTGACTGAGCCAGAGTGGGGTAAAGCACAGTAGGTTGTCTGGGGGGCTGCCTGGGAGTGCGACTGGGTGCCCGGTGGGGATTTGGGTTTGGGGCAGCAAAGGCCCCGTAGAGCTGAAGGGGAATGGGGCTGCTGGGGAAAGCCGGGCTCCCAGAATCCCTGTGGGGCAGGGGGTGTTGTACTGTGTCCCCGCAAATGGGAACCTCTCCTCTGCATGGCAGGTCCCCTGTGCAAGTACGAGCACACGCAGAGGGTGCTGTGTGCCAACTACCTCGTTGGCTTCTGCCCAGAAGGACCAAAGTGCAAATTCATGCAGTACGTATGGGGCAGGCTGGGGGGAGCTCAGCACACAGCTGGTGGGGCACAGCGGGGGACAGCCCCCTCTCCCAGGCTGCGGAGGTGGACGTGGCCCTTGCGGTGTCTGGGTTGAGGACAAGGGCGCTTGGGGTCCTTGCCTGAACTAACTGGACCCCTCTGGTCTCCTCTGGTGTCCAAACTGAGGTGGTGACTGCAGGGTTTGCAGGGGACAGCCCCGGTCCCTGTGGGGACACCTGTACCAGCTGCTTGAGCCCTGGGATGGCCCTGAGAAGCTGTGGGAGCCATGGGAGGAACTGGGGGTACCGCTTGCTGCGCTCCAGGGAGTGACTGCCTGTCCTCTGTGTCCCCCTCCAGCCTCAAGGCCGGGTTGATGACGAGCAGAACGGATCCATCCAAGGTGATGCAGGGAAGGCCCTTTGCCGTTCCCTCGAGCTGAAGCCCTTTTGCTCCGTGCCTCTGCCCGTTGGGGGTGATGCACCGGCTGCCCCTGCCCCACAGCTCTTGCTTCTGCCCCGGCTCTTGTGGGACAGCAGCTGCCAACTGCCCCTCCTGTCCCCCCAGGGAGCTGGCTGTGCTTGGGGGCTGGCACGGCTGGATTCGGCTGCCGGTGGGGAGAGTGGATGCAAGGACGTGCCACCCATGGAGTTCCCTCTTCCAGTCCCTGGTGCTACCCAGCACCTGACAGCACAGCTGGGGGACACCAGTAGCTGCCTCCCAGGCACACAGAGCCTGCTTGAACAAGGCATCTGCTTCAAGGTGAGGGGTTTGGGGACTGGGAGGCCTGAGGGCAAGGGTCTGGCCTCAGAGGGCAGGTAAAGTGCTATGGTGAGGGGCAGCACGTGGTGTGGGGGCTCCCACAGCACTCTCAAACAGCTTCCTGGACTTGGGATGTCTGTCTGCTCCCTGGTGGTGTTTCTTGGGGTGTGAACCAGCAGGAAGGAGGCTCTACTTGGGTTGAAATAATCTGACTGCAAGTGAAGGGACTTCTGAGGTAGGAAGCAGGTGGAATAGCCCTGGAGAGCAGCGAGTCCCTCGCGTCCCTCTGGGTTGGAGGTTTGTTGTGGTTGGAGGTCTCAGGATGCTGATTCCAGGTGAGAGCTGTGCTGGAAGAAGGCATGGCTCTGTTAGCCCAGTCGCTGGGAAATAATGTGAAAATCAACACAGCACTGGGTTGATCCAGCACAAAACCAATGCCTGCCTCTCCCTGTCCCCCCCTCACCAGTGCGGACAGAGAGGTCACTACGCCAGGAAGTGTGGGGAGACTCAGCTGGAAACCCTGCTGGGGAAGTGACCCGAGTGCTCCTGCACGGACTGTGGAAGGAGGACACTGTACAGCGCGATGGAGCCAGCCAGACGGCTACCGGGGCAGTTGCTGGACTCAAAAAGCCAGCTGGCTTTGCGCAGCACCAGCTCTCACAGCTCTTTGCACAAGCAGCAGAGAAATCACAGCTTCCCCACAGTGACTAGAACTGGACTCCTCACAGCTGCCTCGGTTCCCTCCTGCGCAGCTGGCAGCACACGGACGGGGCGAGCAGGAGCGGTCGCTGTGCAAGCACAGGTTTGAAGGGGTGCGGGACCAGCTCGTGTGGTGGTCCTGGGCAGACGAGGGTGTGGGTGTGCTAACCCCCTGTAAGGGGGGGGGCGAGAAGCACCATGTTGGAGAACACACAATACCAAACAGGAAAGGAAAACTCACAAAAGCTTTTATTGCTGGGAAGAGGGAGCTTTTGGTGAGCACCCCTGACATAGTACTACTGCACCGCTTTTTTTTTTCGCTCTTCAAATAAAGAGTTCAGATTTTTTTTCCTAGGCTTTTTTTGTCTTGCCCTTCATGCCTGTAACATGACCAATCCTTTTCCAGACACGTTTGGTGACGGCAGGCTACAACTAGCACTCTCATAACTGTCCTCATTCGTCTGATGCAGACATTGGTTTGCCCTTTGGGCACAGCAGCTCATCCAATGGATTTTCTTCCTCCAGAAATAGGGCGCTGCGGTCTGAGCGCTGCTGCTTTCCTGCCTCCACAAAGGTCCTTCCCTCTGAGCCTGGGCAGTCCCACCAGCGCCGTGCTGACAGCAAAGCAGGGGCTGGGGGCCCTTTTGGGAAGGGGCCCTGCAGGGACCACCCTTCTCCTGCCTGTCGGCAGCAAACCCCACCATGCTGGCTGTGGAGAGGGGTGAGTAGAAGATGGCTGTGCCAGGCACAGCTCTGGTAACTTAAAGGGAATGGTTGTTCTGGCCTAACCCCATCCTGTGACAATCCACCACAAACCTCACTGCCAAACACTGACTACAACCTACGTGTTGATTAATCTATGCTAACAGCCCAATTCAAGGAGTTGTCCTGTGTCTGGGTGTCCCAAAGCAAGAGATTTGCAGACTACAGGAGCTCTACTGCATACTGACCTCTTAAGGGCGGCTCTAACACTTTCTCCTTTCCATATTAAATACTGCCTGAATGGCAGAGCGGTGACCCCAGGCTGTTACTGTCACCCCTCTGTCTGCAGGAGGGGAACTGAAAAGCAGCCCTTTCAACCATTAAAGAACCTGTCTCTGACGGTAAATGGGCCTCTGCTGATGCGAATCCCTGTTGGGACACTGGTCCTGAGCGCTCTGGCTGACTCCCAGTCAAATATTCGGGACCGTTCCTTGGGTGCTGTTCCAGCTCCTTCAGTGATATTTACGCCAGCGATGACACTCTAGAAAAACGGAGGGGGGAGAGAAGAAGTAGAAGAGTGTTAGCACAGTGCTATGCTTGGGGATTACCCGAGTGTGCTTTGCCCAGCAGCGATGAGCAGGAGCCTGACTGCAGCCTGCTCTGTTTATGTGCTGTAGAGCTGCGCATGAGAGCAAGTCCTGCTGGGGAAGCTACAGAAACACCAGTAAATCCCTTGTCAGTTATGAGTAAATCCAGGGAATGGGTGCTTAGAGTTGGAACATCTCCTCCCTCTGCTTTGTGCAGGGTTTAAAAGTGTTCCTGGCACTCTCCAGGGAGAAGCTGCCAATCAGCAATTGGTATTACCAACTTTAACTAAATTCCTTTGCCTACCTAAGCCAAGTCAGAATACTGTTCTCTGAGCTCTGATGTTCATCTTAAATGTGAAGTATTTGAACTACTTCAGACCTTGAATGGCAAATAGACTTTCCACCTGCTGCAAAAGGGGGAATTGCTTGAAATAAGACAGTTGTTACGAAGAAGGAAACCTTACTGATGTGCTGATAGTTCCAGCCATAGCTGAGGAGGCAATATCCAGCCAGCAGCATAGAGATCCCAGCCGGTCCACCCCTCTTCACGTTGATGTATTTGTTGTAATAGCTGCTCCAGGCTGTTGGAACAGAAATGCAAGGGTCAAATCACATGCAGGTCCTGCGGAGTTCACTGGTTTCCATGTAACTTTCCAAAGCCAAATGGTTGGGTCTATTTTATTTATGTCTTTATAAAAAGACCCAGACTGGCCACTTAGACCGGGCTGCAGCAAGTAAATCGGGTAAGTGGGACAATTCTGCCCCAAGAGCTGGGAATTTAGCCTTACCTTTCCGCATTCCTCCAAGCAGCCCCTGGGGAGAGAAGTCGCGGGTGGCCAGCCAGGCGGGCAGCTCCCCCAGCCTTACATCCATCAGGTGCCTTTCTGAGAGGGGACCTGCACAATGAGAAATCGGAGCAGTCAAAGGCAGGAAAGCGAGGGCAAAGTGTGTGGTGCTCTCACGTTCCCTGCGCTTGGCACAGAGTTTGGTATCTGGTACAGCTGCAAGAGGCTTGGGCCTGACTGCTCAGAAAGGAAGAGCAAATCGTCTCTCCCACAAAGTGAGCTGGCTCCACCAGCCCAAACATGCAAGAGCCTGTCTTAAACCTAAATAGAAATGTAAACCATTGGTTTTGCAGGCTGGAGGGTTGGGCAGTTAACCCCCTTGGATCCTTCCTGGATCGCTTTCTGGACAAGCCCAGCAGCTTCGCGTTTCCTAACCCTCCTCTCCCATTCACGTCGGACAGTTTAGCCTGACAGTGCAGAAAAATCTCAGCAGCAGAGACTCCTGCTCCTCATGTTACCTTGCTGTCCCTCCGAGAAATTGCCCTTTGGTGTCTTCATCATGATCCCCACGCCTTCTTGGAAAGGCTTCCCTGGAAAAATAGTCAGCCCGTCATAATTAGGATACAAGTCTGGAAACCATTCCAAGCCCATGGCACCTGCTGGCGTGCTCCTGCCAGAGGCCTGGGATAGACAGATGGGTTGGCTTTTGGAGGCGTGGAGCAGGAGCTGGTGCAGCGCCAGCTCCGAGTCCCTCCTCGCATTCAGGATGGGCTCAGAAACTACAGCCATCTGCTTCTTGCTCTCTTGAAGCTTTTGTATGCTGGTTAGGTAATTTTTGGATGTCCCTTCACTGTGACCTCTGAAACCCTCTCTCGCTGACAGATGGAGGTTCTTGGTATGCAAAGCAGGAACAGGGGCTTTATGCTCCGCACCAACTTCTAGATGCATCTGCTTCTCTTCTGTCAGAGTTTTGTCTGTTCCCTCCTGCTTAACGAGGTCACCAGGGCCACTTGTGCAGTCAGCTTCGGGGAGCTCCCTAAGCACGGGTACTTTTATTGCCTTTAAGCTACTGCCTTTCACCCCCTTTGAGCTCGCAGACGCGTTCTCCGCAGCTCCGAGGCTGCGCCTCTCTGCATTTGCCATTTCTGGAACAGTTCTTCCCCCCCGTGGGTCGGGCTGGGCTGTGTCCGTGGGCTTGGCAGCGCTGCCTGGATCTGGCCCTTCCGCAGGCGACCTGTCTGCGCTGTGGCTTCCTGCTGGAGCGCCCCGGCTCCTGGAACAGTCCTTCCCCCCCGTGGGTCGGCCTGGGCTGTGTCCGTGGGCTTGGCAGCGCTGCCTGGATCTGGCCCTTCCGCAGGCGACCTGTCTGCGCT